AAAAAAAATATCAAAATTTTGTTTTTTGCAGAGATCATATCTTGAAATGGAATGGTTGGGGATATGCGGATTCATATTTCGAAGCCATAAATCCACAAGAACTCGCTTTCACGGGCGATAGGTTAGTTCCCATTGTTGCTTTGACGTTTTCAGATGTTTCGTTGGTTTGTTGAGGATATGATGCGAACAAGCGGGGCATCAGTGCATGCTATACGTTTGGCAAAAAGAAGAACGCAGTGCATGATTAATGCCTGGGGGAGAACTCACAGCGCGAAACTGACTAATAGAAAGTTATAATAAGAAGGAATAAAGTAAAAAAAAGAGTGAAAAAAAGTAGAAAATGAAAATTAGGAAATTTGTGAGATTATTATAATGGTAAGATGTTTCGGTCCATTAAATCGTATACATTTCTTACCGTTACCACAATTGGACCTCGTCGGTATGACGGTTGTGATAATTGAAATTAATAGGAGTTAAAATTAAATTAGAACATCAACATTTACTCAGGAGTTCATTTGCATCTGCCTCGTAATTTGTTATTCATTGGGAAAGAGTATTTGGCATTTTAGGTACGAAATTTCGGGCCGACGTTTACCGTTTCTCAAACAGTATATGTGCGAAACTCTTGGAATTGATGTGGATTATCGTACACCAAGTGTACTCTACGAAGAGGTATCAGTACCGACATCCGTTGATAATCAACAGTTCATTGATTTTCTACTGGAAAAAGGAATTTCTTTCTCAAACAAATCAAAATACCGACTGGCTCGTTCGCATGGACATACAGGTAGAGAATTTCAACAAGAAAAAATTAGGCAAAAAACGTCTGACCATATATTCGCACTTATTTCTTCCCATGTTTCTTCCAATTTTTATGCGTTTTTTGCAGCAATGCAATGCGAAAAACGCATATTGACGAGAGGTTGTCTGTGTGTTCGTGTGTCTGTGTGCCTGTGTGTGCGTCTGTCACGCACTTTCATCTCCGGACCTATAAAAGCTGCGATGTGTCTGTGTGTGCGCTGGGCCTCTGTATCGGTTTTTCATCTCGAGACCGGCAAAAGCTACGGAGCTGAAACTTTGGGGACTTGTGCGTGTGTGTGTGCGCTGCGCGTCTGTACCGATTTTTATGCGTTTTGTGCTGTGTAACAGCCGCGTTTTTTGCAGCTATGCAATGCAGAAAACGCATATTGACGAGAGGTTGTCTGTGTGTGTGTGTGTGCGTGCTGTATGTGTGTGTGTTTGTGTGTGTGTCTGTGTGTGCGCAGCGCGTCTGTACCGATTTTTCATCTCTGTTTGTGTGTGTGTCTGTGTGTGCGCTGCGCGTCTCTACCGATTTTTCATCTCGAGACCCACAAAAGCTACAGGGCTGTTCTGTGTGTGCGCTGGGCCTCTGTACCGATTTTTCATCTCGAGACCGGCAAAAGCTACAGGGCTGAAAAACTTTGGGGACATAATCTACATGCACGTACGGGCCTCTACCCCCAAAATGGGCGGTCTTTCCCGCGTGGTACCCCCGTAAGACCCCGCCAAAGTTTTTAACG